AAGATACTGTCAGTCAGCTAAACAGTTTAAACCCTTGCTGACGCACATCTTTAAGACAAGCATGGACTGTGCAGCCAAAATAAAACCCCATTAAAATATAACACATTCTCTTTGCACATCTCTGTCCCCCTCACATGACCCCTCTGTGCGGAGGCCTGAGGCCCAGTGCTACCCTTATCTCCCCAGACAGCTTCTGTATAAAGCTGCAGATGCTCTTATGGGACTCCCCTGCTATTTCTAGGCATATTACTCCACTATCCCTGTCCCCGATCTCCTGTCTTTACTGTTGTAATTATCTCTAATGGGAGAAGGTATTTGTTTTTCTAGCCTCTGCTGCTTCAGTCTCACTCTGGTGTAATGCTTTATCTCTCCGCGACATGTTTACACAGAGTCCTTTTGAAGTTGTTTTAATGCCTCTATTTGGTCTGGATTGTCAGTCACATCTTTACATCCATCTGGTCCGCCAGAAGTGCTTCATCCGTCCTGACAACAGGGATGCTGCAGTCGTGTTGCATAACCTCATTTCACGACACATCGGAGGAGATCGAGTGAGAGCAGCATCCTCTGTTACTCTGGGCCTTGCGCCTTCAAATCCACTGTATGTGTCAGATGTGTACCATAATCTGACTCAGTGTTTGACAGACTTACAACCTTTATAGCTGCATGTTTTATTTGGAGTTAAATACATAACAACATGGGCGAAGCAAATAATCCTGTGTGCTCTGAAAAAACTAATCATACAGCAAAAACTAATTTGATGTGGAGTTAATGACTGAGGAAAATGCTTATTCCTCATGTTCAACATTGCACCCTTTCTTAATTAAAAATGAAAAAGCAGCTAGAGGCTATCCATTAACTGTGAAAATAAGGGTTGTCATACAATAAACAGAAGCTGCTCTGCGTGAATTACCACAGAACTAATTTCTAATTTATCGTCAACCATGTGAAAATAATTCCTGCGAGGAAGGGCAAGGGCAGCGAGATTCAGGTGTAATAAAGATGAAATGTGGGTAAAAATTACTGTGGGTCTCCAGAAGCAATGTTTTATCACTGTTTACCTTCACACAGCAATTTCTTCATGGACAGGCGCAGCAGCATTTTTGCTTCACGCTCATACCTGGCTGTACTTTGTGTTTGTGTTCCTTGCTAAATCCAAATTCACTGCAAATCTCTGTGGATGTAGAAAGAGTCAGGCACAGGTTTGTTCCTCCCTGCACCCATTCACAAGCACAGTGTCTGGACTGTATCTGTTAACTGTATTATGTAACAGTTCCCACACTGAAGCAGGGATACCACTTTGTTTTTTGAATAGATGCTGAGTGAAAGGACTTACCTTACCTGGGAGCACTCACAACTTCAGCGTGCCACTGTGTTGTGACTTATATTATATAATCTGCGTTAGTTTGATGGAGACTCCCCATCCTCTGTTGGAGGATAAAGTTATGCGTCTTACCTGGGTGCTTTCACACACACACACACACACACACACTGCATTGTGTTATGTCTTGTGTGTGTGAATACAGGGGACTCTCTGTCTGGTTACAGTCCAGTGGTCTCAGTTTCAGCTGAAATCGTCTCGACCACAATGAAGGCTCGCCCCACCTACTGGATTTCTGGCGACTCTGGTCAACAAGAGGCCTGTTCTTCTGTTGTCAGCACTGGAGGGGACTAATAAAGGTGATTTAAATTGTTGGGGCCAGACGGTGTATGTAACCATTATCCTTCAGCCCCAAAATGTGAGAGTCCTTCTGTCTTTTCACCGCTTTATATTCACTCTATGCACTGACGAGAAGTTGCATCTGCTACACTCCACTAGAGAAACTTTTCTCAGGGCTGTCACAAACAAGTATGACAGCAGTACTCATTAACAGCTATAGGAGGCCTACTCTATACAGTGCACCGAGGGAAATAAAGCTGACTCTCCACCTTAGAGTGAATGGATTAGTTACTGTATCGTCTGAGTGCATACACTGTAGGTGTGTGTATGTGTGTGGGTACAAGTGGAGAACTACTGCCATCAATATAAGTCACAGTGCGACATTCGGCTGCACAGTTACCATTGAGGTGATTCGTTTTCTCTTTCCACAACCTGCCGTGCTAAGCCCGTATGTGTGTGTGAGTGTGTCTAAGTATGTGTGAAGGAATTTAGTACCTCTCCGCATTGCCGTGCCAGGTACAACCCATCCTAAGGTGTGGAATGCAGACTGAGGAGCGATAGAGAGATGAAGCAAGACAGAAACCAAAGTGGGAGAGAGTGAGAAAGACAACTTCCTTCTTTGGTGAAAGAGTGCACACATTGTTTTCCTTCCTGCCTTTATCAAACATACTCCACATAGGTTTGTTTTTATAAAAGTGATTTACGTGTGTTTCAGTAAATGTGGTGGAGAATGACTTATTCAATGAGTCACGGACAAGGAATGGTTACACCTCTCCCAAGAGCTTGGCTTGTCGAGGCAACAGTCAGATATTGATATCCAAAACAATGTCTGGATTCAATATTCAATATGTTTCTCTTTTTATCCATGAGCCAGAGGAGGTGGAGGCATTGGGAACAACTCATATCTGCCTAGCGGTTTTATTTATTTCCTTTTCTTTCACTGCTTTCCAACATTTGCCTTTTGGCAACCACCAGAGAATGGGCATGGACTTGCAGCACATAGATGTGTTTTTGTTTGTCTGGATAATAGTGGTGGAATGTAATTTAGGACATTTACTCAAGTATTGTACTTACACAAAAAAATCTCAAGTACTTTCTCTTTACTTAAGTACGTTGATCTCATGCCACTGTCTACTTCTACTCTAATACACTTCAGATATACTGTACTTTTAAGTCCATTGTAATGATTTGATAACTTAAATTACAAGATTCCTCACAAATGAAGATCGTAGCATACAAACCATAGGAAAATATACACTCACCAGCCACTTTATTAAGTACACTTGTTTGACTGCTTGTTACCGCAAAAAGCTAATCATGTGGCAGCAGCTCAATGCATTAAGACAAGTAGACATGGTGAAGATGACCTGCTGAAGTTCAAACCGAGCTTCAGAATGAGGAGGTAAGTTGATTTAAGTGACTTTGAACGTGGCATGGTTGTTGGTGCCAAACGGGCTGGTCTGAGTATTTACTGGGATTTTCACACACAACCATCTCTAGGGTTTACAGAGGATGGTCCCAAAAAGAGACCAGACTGGTTCAAGATGATAGAAAGGCAACAGTAACTCAAATAACCACTGGTTACAACCAAGGCCTGCAGAAGACCATCTCTGAACCAACAACATGTCCAGCCTTGAAGCAGATGGGCTACAGCAGCAGAAGACCACACCAGGTGCCACTCCTGTCAGCTAACAACAGGAAACTGAGGCTACAGTTCACACAGGCTCACCAAAACTGGACAATAGAAGATTGGAAAACCATTGCCTGGTCTGATGAGTCTGGATTTCTGCTGCCACATTCAGATGGTAGGGTCAGAATTTGGTGTAAACAACATGAAAGCATGGATCCATCCTGCCTTGTATCAACGGTTCAGGCTGCTGCTGGTGGTGTAATGGTGTGGGGGAGATTTTCTTAGTACCAACTGAGCATGGTTTAAACACCACAGCCTACCTGAGTATTGTTGCTGACCGTGTCCATCCCTTTATGACCACAGTGTACCCATCTTTTGATGGCTACTTCCAGCAGGATAACGCACCATGTCACAAAGCTCAAATCATCTCAAACTGGTTTCATGACAATGAGTTCACTGTACTCCAATGGCCTCCACAGTCACCAGATCTCAGTCCAGTAGAGCACCTTTGGGATGTGGTGGAACAGGAGATTCTCATCATGGATGTGCAGCTGACAAATCTGCAGCAACTGTGTGATGTCATCATGTCAATATGGACCAAAATCTCTGAGGAATGTTTCCAGCACCTTGTTGAATCTATGACACCAAGAGTTAAGGCAGTTCTGAAGGCGAAAGGGGGTCCAAACTGGTACTAGCAAGGTGTACCTAATAAAGAGGTTTTTAAAGTGTGGTAATAGTACCTTTATTCAAGTAAAGCATTTGAATTCATCCTCCACCACTGCTGTGTGCAGAGTGTGATAGAAATAATGATAGCAACAATCAGGAAAACAGTCACTCAAAATATAAAGTGGCTTTTTTTTCCCACGATGCTGTCACAGGAGAAAATGGCATATCTGATTTTTCTGACAATGGGTGGTTGTTGAGCACTGATGCAAAAATCTGAAGATAAGATAGCTGAAAGATGTTCTCATATCAAATTCTTTTCCAGGCCATGCTGGAAAAATCTTTGACACATTACTTCTACCAAATGGTAATTTACAACGCGTGATTGTCTTGTTGTTTCTAAGCACAACAAACTCTAATAATTGCCTATAAAATAAACCCTGAACACCCACAATTAATTACTGAAGTGGCAGAATTATCTAGAGGCCAAAGTCTGAGCTCTGCAAGAGTCATCAACAGACGCTTTGGTGATTCAAACGAGATTATCAAGAGACGCCATTGTTGTTTTATCAGTTCAACACCAGTGGCCTTTCTCTTCAACAAAATGTAATTATTTAGCTTTGATAAACAGACTGTGTCTCCCGCCCACCCGTCCCTCTCTTTTTAGTTGTTAGTCAACCATGCTCTGCCCCCGACTACACACTCACACACACACACTTCACGTCTGTCAGTCAGTAACTAAAGCTGCACCCACCAGGGATAGACTTTGATCAAGCTCTGCAGACGGACACACCCAAACACACAATTGGAGGTAGTGCATTAAAGATAATGATGCATAATAAATGACGGATAACAAGATTCATCTCTTACATAATAGATGAGTTCAATCAAATCTTTCCAAGTTATGTGTGAACACTTGTTTCATGGGCCAGCAGCTGTCCGCAGCACCTTTGTGTGGTGAAATGTGACATGATACAATGTGGTGAAGATTTTAAGGCATTTTTATTAGAAAATCTTTATATATATATATATATATATATATAAAAGCTCTATAACAAACACATAGAGTGACAATTTAAACAATGTGATAAAATACTTCTGGCATTATCTAAAAAAATAGACAAAAAAAACAATCTATAAACATGTCACTCAGTATTACATCACAGGTACAAAAGTCTGTAACATGAGGAAAGAAAGACAGGCATTACAATCATTTGTTAGTAGACTTGATGTGTTCACAGGTGCACGAAGAAATGGGCTCTCAAGGACGTTTTGCAATCAGAGGGTTTTCAGATCTGACTGTGCGCTCCCACACAACACTCAGGACAGGTGCGTGCATGACTGACTCATCGAGTTTTTGGCCTTCAGACTTAATGACAGCAACATCACATTTATGCTCTTTTATCCAGGTAACCTGATGGGACAGAAGTCCTTCTGCCTACAGATAGAGGATAAAACTGCTTTTAACAAGTGCTCTGACACTGGCAGGAATTATGACGGTTGTGTGTAACTGACTGAAATGGAAGACTTACATTATCCCTAATGACTGAATTGTAAAACTAAAATATGCAACGTATCCTCAAATAACAGTTCATATAATATCTTTAAAAAAATCACCTACAGCAATTCATATATCTAACAAAAAATTCACATACCACAATATCCTATATCTATCAAATCAGCACCCAAGAAATTGGCCCCCCGATGGGTTAGGTTAGGTTTAGGAAAAGGATCATAGCCAGGCGTCATTATGTTACGTATTTACATTTGTTACGTTTTGGAAAAGAATCATGGTTAGGCGTCGTCACATTGTGTGCTTAACGTAAGGGGTGTAACAATCCATCGTTCTGGATCAATGTATCAATTCAATGAGGAACAATCCAGTTTCATCGATGCAAAGTGAAAACGTCGATCCATAACATCATCTTTAGGATCTACTTTCATTTTGAAAGACTGTGTCACCATCAAACAGCAGCAGGCAGCAAGAAGCAGAGAGAAAGATGACAAGGGTAATATTATTTTCTCTGGAGTGTGGACATATATTGGAGAAAAAAGGGGTCAACAGACAGAGCACATGGTGGATGTAAACAATGCCGTTACGAGATAAAACATGATGTAGCGTTACCTGCCTGGATACAATAACTTTAGCTGCTCTGTTTCGACAATGTTCGGCTGAAGAAACGTGCATGTAGTCTGAAATTCAACTGAGCTGTTCTGTCGGAAGGTGGAGTGACTTAAACCAACGGTGAGTAAGACTAAGTATAAATAATACACAAAATTAGTGAAGTTATGAATGGAGGAAAGTTTGCTAGCCGCTACGCTAACATATGCAATGTAAACATGCTTGAGCTAATAATGGGCGACTAGCAAAAAACAATTGACATGTCTATGAACCTTGACAGTTTTTACTGAGCTGAATTTGGTACTTTTGTTAAACAATGTTGTTGTTGATCCATGTTTTATGGCTGTTGGGAGAAGTTTCAGGGCTTTAAGCCAGATAGACCTGAGGTTTCATTATAAAGATCATGGTTTGGATTAAAATTAAATTATTTCTTTCAGAAAAGGCTTGGTGTCAGTATAAAGGAATTTTACTGCACTTAAGCAGTTACAATTACTTACATTATTTATGTGTTTTATGGTAAAAAGCAAAAAAGAAAGGGGTGGCAGCTTCTTCTGTAGCAGATTGTGTTAAACGGCCAGAAAATATCGTCTCATATTGATCGCAGACCCTGAATCGCATCGTATCGAATTTGTATCGTGGTGGACTTTGTAATTTCGGCAAATATTGCATCGCTGTCCAAAGAATCACTGACTTGACTTTAATACAGGACACAAACACCAGCACGCCAGGGGAAAGTTGTGCATTCCTTTGACCCATCTACCTCCATAAGCAGACTTTTACTCTTACTTCTTTCTTTACCCACATCAGCGCTTTCGTAACGCGATTGCAGCCTAAATGATTTACATAGGTTCTACGTAAATTACTGTCTCATGATTACGTGGGGTTTTTACAGATTCTGATGCATAATTTTTTGGAGGTATAACATACAAAGAGTGCATGAGAGCAGCCTGAAAAATGATCTACAGATTCCACATTTTATTGTCCATTGAGTCAAAAAATGTAAGGTCTCAATACGGCTCATCATGGCAGAAAACAAATTCCTCATTCTGACTACTTTCAGTTCCATGTTGCAGCTGATTTTGCCACCGGCAAGATCCACTTCTAAAACAACAAAGTTATTGAACACAAATCGGCCTTTTTGTGCTCTCAGGACAGTCGCCAAGCCGGCGTCAGGATTAAATAGCCTTTCACTTTCAAAGCCCTGCAAATCCAGTTTCCCTTCCCTCATGAAGATATCTGGACTCTCTCAAGAGTAAAGTTACTCTACTTCTGATCCTGTTCCAAAGCCTTCATCTTCATCACTCTAATCTCTTTGTTCTTATTCAAAAACTTTCAAACAGAACTTTCTTTCCTTTCTCTTTCCATTCTTGAACAATGTGGTTGTTTTTGACACGGCAGCAGCAGGAGCAGCTCTCTCTTCATCTAGTCTGCACTCTGCAGAACCGTGGAACATAATCCATGGGTGCCATCTGGGCATCCCTCCAGCGAGCTCCCTGGCTGGCTTCACATCAGTGTTTCTGCCTCGCCCTGTCTGTCCCCACCTCCTCAGTCGGAGTCATCACCATCGTCGTCGTCTGAGCTCGGACCCTCGTCCTCTGATGAGCTTGGGTCTTTGGTGCTGGCCTCTGAGATCATGCCGTCTGAACTGTCAATCTCAAAGGACGTCTCTGATACGTAGAGGTGGATTGCCCTCGCTGGGTGGCTGGGACACACACGCACACACAGAGGGGAGAGGGAGACATGCACCAGTGGGAGCAAAATAGCACACACACACACAGGGCAGGGTATGAATTCATGCATGACACATTCATGAATCATTTATGTGCATGCATGTGCATAAGTCACGCACAATGGGGACAGGACAAAGACAAGCAGACAGCACAAACACAGCAGCAGGGACAAAGCATTAGTGTCACACAGGGTTAAATCGTCCCAAGTTGAGAGCGAAGGTTGGATCGAAATCTCTGTTTACCCATCTGCATCTGATTGGGGTGAAAACACTTTCCTTCCTTTGCCAAGTTTTTCAGTGACAGTTTCAGTTTGAACTCTGAATACATCTGATTGTGCAAGATGACAGTAAAGTTGTCAACTTTTCCATGAGGGGTGAATACAGTGAGTCACAGTATTGCAACACGGTTTTGACTGTAACCACTTACGGCGCCTATTACAGAGAGATCTGAAAACCCAAGAGAGAAACAAAGAAGTCCCACGTGCCCAGGAAAAAAGATGCTTTTAACAAAACAGCTCGTTGTTCAAAACAGACATTTGTCCATTAGAGAGGCTGCTGGTTGGTAAAAAGATTTGCCACCGTATCAATACATTTAAAATTTAGAATTGCTATTGATTTAACTATGTGCTTGTAATTTTGTTTATTTTACAAAAGTGCTCTGTAAAATGTCTGTTTTCAACAAGTGCTCTCCATCAGGTTTTGATAATATGATAGCACCTTGATTGTTTCTGTTGCAACATCAGGCTAGTAACACCACAGAAAAATACAGTTATATAACTTCAGTAGTGAAACAAAACAGAAATGTACACCAGCATCCTCCTGTAGATTCATAAGAACCACAGTAAAGTGGATCAGACAGCTGATATATATGACCGTTGAAATGAGAGCTGACAGATACAGATCACAGATATCATGTATGGGGTTTCATAATGCATCCCATCATCTGGTAATTACAACAAAATTTCAGTAGAGGCTAGGAAGCTGCTCAGTTATTGTTCCACAGTTTCTATTGTGTGCTAAAACAATATATTGTGTGGCTTGTACTGCATCGGTATGTTGGGGTTTGAAATGTATTAGCAGGGAAGTAAACAGCAGGAATACACCATTGTTCGACCTCTACATCATCAAAACATCGACTCTAAACAGGAAAGTTGTTTGGAGGCCCATTTAGCTGAACAGGAAATATGAACTGATAAAACAGTTGTTTCTCTCCAGATATGAAAGGCACATGGTGATATCATAAAAGCTACACAGCAGTCTGGCTATTATGCTCTGTGTCTACAGCCTCCTATATAAAGGCACATTCTCAATTTGGTTAACAACAGCTGCCCATCAACTCATCCAGGATTGGGATCCACAGACTGCGGTTGGAGAGAAGGGAGGAAGTGAAACGTCCAGTAGGAAAAGAGCCCCAGACCCCAAGAGGAGGCTGCACATGCCCCGATCCCCAGAGTTAGACGGAGAGCGAGAGAGGAAGTGTAGGATTCTTCGGTTCCTCTCTCTATCCCCCTCTTCCTCTCTCTCTGTCTTTCTCTTGGTCTTACCACACAGTGGGGTCTTTTCTCTCTTTGCGGGGAGCCTCCTCGTTCCCTTCCCGCTCTCTCTGTCTCCTCTTCTTGCACCGCCTGCAGGACAGAATGATGATGAGGAGGATGACCACAGCGGCGATACCGCCTCCGATGGCCAACGCCAGAAGGAGAAGTTCAGAGAAAGAAGCTGTGGGCGAGAAGGAAACACAGAAATGCAGACTGAGTGTGTTTGTTTGATAAAATAAAAATACCAGCACTGCTCAGAGGCACTGTGCACTTTTAACTGTGTGACTGCTTTAAGCTGCTATTAATACAAAAGCACATTTTCATTTTAAGAATTTTATGCTGTAGCTGTATGGCCAGTTAGTCTGTCTGTCAGAGGGAGGCATTCATGGTCCTTAGAGGAGGAAGATGACTTTGGTTATCCCTTAACTTTTCATCTAGTGCCATCAGCAGGTTTACATTTCCGTCAGGACCACTTTAGTCAAAAAAAGGTGACTAAATACTACAATTTCCATTTGCAGTATTATATTTGGCGGTATGGCTCTGTTCTGGGGCCTCTGCCTTTCCTCGAGCCTACGCAGAAAGCCTCTTCCATGCATGTACGTGGAAAGCCTGAGGCAGAGAGAGCACATTTCTCTGCCCTTCCATGTGCCTACATGGAAAGCCTATGGCAGGGAGAGCAGCAGCAAAGTCCCCCCGGGAACAGAACAGAGCAGCATCAATGACAAACAGAAGTGACATTGATAAGTCAGACACAGTATGAAAGGGAGGAGCTGGGGTGGAGGGGGGTTGCAAAGCAGCTTGCAGAGGAAGCAGCAACAGTAGGCGACTCAATTTTTGGCTTTTTGTAAATTGTCTTTGACAACTACCTAATTAGCACATTCTAGCATGCTAAAACAATGATCTAATATGGTGAACATGGTAAACATTATAACTTGTGAGCATGTTAGCATGGTGACATTTAACTCACCACATTCAAAGCATCACTGTGCCTAAGTGCTGCCTCTCAGAGCTTAATTTTGCTGACATATTGTTGCTTGATGAAATATTAATGCACAGGAAAATAAAATGAGTAGCTCTGGTCAATAGTTCTGACTGGCTGGGTCACAGAGAATGTCAAAGTAAAATATCTGATTAATTCATCTCATAATCAGTAATTGATCGTTAATACTATAACTGATGTCACAGCACAGGCTGTACCTGTACTGTAGCAAGCTCTTTTTTTCAACTACTGCTCAAAGACTATTATACTAATTTAAAAATTACCTTTTCACTGTTACTGATTTTTTTTCCATACAAAATGTCTGGAACATTTGCAATATTTTAATTAAAATGTGCCAGTGCTATAATATAAAATGCACAGCACACCATGCCAAACAACACCCATTCTAAGAATAATGTGCTTCATTTGAATCCAATCAAATAGTTTCTCCAAAATTCTCTCTTATTTGGCTTTTCAGCAAGAGATGAAATGATGTGGGTGTTTTTAGAGACACAGCGGAAGCACAGTAACATTCATGGCATATATGAAGACATGTTTTGTCTGAAAATCAAAGCGCTGACCTGTAGTGACGACACGGAGTCGAATCTCTCCAACCGTGCCGTGGACATCCGGCGGATTCTTCACCTGGCAGATGTAAGTGCCGTTGTAGGTGAATTTGACCTGTTGAAGTATGATGGAGGCATCGCGGCCCATGACGTCACCTGCCCAAACGACACGCTTCCTGAAAATGCCGTCTACTGGAGGATATGGTCGCTGCTGGTAGTGGAACACCTGAAAGTGGAAATTGATGGGTAGATTTCGTTGGAGCAATAATAGGTTTGATTGGTTGGATTGTCGCAGAAAGAAAGTCATACCAAACTGAGTCTGGAGACGGAAAGTATTTTATTCTCACAGAGAAAAAAAGACAAGACATAGACCCAGACTTGCTGCATCTTTTTCTTTCTATTCTCAATAGACACACACAGGCTGGCTTGGACGCTCTGTAGGGAGCCAGATGACTCATCGACTCCTCTCTCAGTTGGCTGAGGGGGTGGATGCTCCCTGACACAATGAGGGAGGTTTAAAGTTTGATCTCACTTTCTCACAAACACACATACACTCACCGACTCTTCTCGGCCTGGTTTGAGCGGTCTGAAGCTCCAGGAGATGACGATGGAGTTGGGGTTGATGGTGGCAGAACTATGAAATGTGCACTTCAGACGAACATCCGTCCCGTTGACCGCCTCCATATCCCCAGATGTGTATATACGCATCCCGCTGACCTGCAGCACGCCTGCAACATACGAAGATACGGCGCAGCTGCAGAGTTTACTTCAAAAGCAGAATGCCGTGCACACAGAGCAAAATCAATACAGAGATAAGTGGTTTGTGAACGAAACACAAATACATATACAAAAATACAACCCAACAGACATAGTATGAATTCACACTCATCAGTAAATTCCTGCCTAGTGAGTGCAGGCAATGTACCCGTTGACCCTACTTCTGCCTACGCAGTGCTGCTGCAAGAAAAATCACCAACTCCAAGTTGTCACTATAACTGTATTAGATACATTTATTACAGTATACTGAAATCTTACAGATTGGTACAAATGCTGAAAGTATTAGATTAGATCTGCGAGTGGGTCAGTAAGTGAACTCCTCTCAAACATCTGCTTCATTACATCCTAAAAGTCCAAACTGATTTGGGATCAGTGAAGCAAATCTGTGACATTTAATGAATAATGGCCACTTTAGCTACACTACTGCAGCTGAGACAGGGCTGAAATTGAGAGTCTGCTCTATATTATATGGATATGGACTATATCAATCTTTACAGTACGTGGTAGACCTATTAGATGGAAAATGAATGGACTGGGGGAGCGGAGAGGGATATTGGCAACGATTTGGCTCTTCCACATAATGATGGATGGAGCTCCCCCGAATGGAGTTAGGGCTGACACACACATACACTGCACCGACACACACACACACACACACACACACACACACACACACACACACGTGCACTGTGTAAGACAGAGACGTGCTTAAAGCTGAGTTCCTGTCTGGCAGCCAGTCAACATCACATCAGGAACCAGCCAATCACGTCTTGCTCTCCCCGAGATTGCAGAGCCTTGTTTATCGAGGTAGATCCAACCCTAAAGAAGCCCAGTGGGTATGCGTGTCTAAGTCTCTGTAGAAGTTTATACGCAGGCTGTCCAAAATCACCTAGTCTATTTATAGAGAGAGCTCTATATACCCTAATAATATCAGGAGCCATGTCTAGCTTTATTAAAGTCAATGCCCACGCACACAGCAGACCGTCTGTCTGCAGCCACAGCGTGCTCAGGGAAGCCGAGACTTGTCCTAACGTCATTAGCACACTCCATATGAGGTCCCTGCAGGCCGGGCCAAACACTTGATGAGAGCTCAGACTATCAGAGACGTTTTAAATCTGACGAGGAGCTGCCTGTGGCTCCATGAATCACCCGAGTGCAGGCGTCATCCCAGGCCTCAGTTTTATATATGACAACATCAGTTTTTGTTGATGCAATCAGCCAGCATCGAGGTTGACCTGTACTCTAGATGAGACCTCATCTCTGTTGAAAAACTTTGCTTAGTCCTTGCAGCCTTCTCACACTGCTTGTTATGATTTAATAATATCATTAAGATTTAAAAGGATTTTAAACCCTAAAAAGATTAATTAAGCTTTATTCTGCAATTTAGAATGTGGGTTAAACAGCTAAAGGTGTCCTTTATTGATTGGCAAAATAAAGCTCCAGGCACAGAAATTAGAAAAGTCCAAGGAAGGCATATCATTACCCCAGTATTATAATCAGAGGGAGCATTAAGGCAGGAGCTAGCTGGGAAAATGTCAGCGGGGGCTTGGCTCCTCGGGCGGCGTGTTCTGTTCCTTATCAGGTTGGAGAGAGTTTCCTGTGGGCTGTGATGAGAGAGTGGGGCGACTAGACGGCCCGCGCACAGCATTAAAAACAGACAGGGTTCTCTCTCATCGCCGGGCCCTGACAGCGCTCTAACAGCCTAATGTGTTTTAAATGAGCCCGATGAAACCTGGGAGGGGTGTGTACAAGGAGTGAGCAATAGAGGCAGAGTAAACACTGCAAGAAATGTCCATCTTTGCACATCCTCTGGTCTTTTTTTAGACTTAAAATTGTATTTTTATTGAATGAAAACATATTGCAATGAGATTGCAGCACAAGCTTGTTTTGGATTATTTCTGCACCTGTATCTTAAAAAATAAGGCAGGTACTTTAACTTGCATCAATAAAAAGCACTTTTTATATTACAGAGTAAAGCTCTCATGAATGGACTTCAAAGGGAACGAGCCCTCTCTGCAACCTTTGTCTCACTTCCTCGTCTACCTGGCGGAGTGAATGGAAACACAGGAGTTAGTGGATTAAACTGCCTGTGTTTAGGATATTCATTAGGCAGATAACATCGGCGCTGGCTGTATCAGCAGAGCCAGTAATAAGTACCTCCCCGGTCCAACTGTGTGTGTGTGTGTGTGTCTGTGTGTGTGTGTGTGTCAAAACAAAAAAGAAGAGTCGGAGCCACCAGGTAAAGGTCTCGTATTCGATATTGCATGTAAAGGTTGAAAAGAGAAAAGGGCAGAATGGAGGAGGGAAGGAGTGGGCGCAGAGAGTGTTGTATATTCAGTTGCATGTCTCACATATATGACTATCACTCCTGTTAACAAGTAGCTACACGTGCCTAATTTCAAACTTGGAGTACATGGTTTTCTGTTGATACCCATGCTAATAATGTGATTTAGGATGGCAGACTGAAAATATCTCAATTAAACAACTGTTGAATGTATTCCTATTAAATTTTGTGCAGACATTCATGGTCCCCTGAAGATTCGCCCAACTTTAGCTGCTGCAGCAAGGACATTGCCTTCGTGTAAGGGATCCTCTAAGCCACCGGGTGCCCCAAGTCAGCATTTTATTTTATCTAATACTTTGGTTTATGGCCAAATACATGCAAAACTAATGACTTCCCTCCTTAGCTGGACTTGTATTTAGGGCCAATTAGCAAATGTTAGCATGCTAACATGCTAAATTAAACTCCTGAGACTCCAGCTTTTGTTTGGTGGGCATTTTTAATTTCTCTGAGTTATTTGGGAATGTAGGACCTGATAAGTATTAAAAACTAAGCATTGTCTTTGAACAGTAGGTAGTTTACTGGAAAAAAAGATGGGACGATGGGTTTATTTTTAATAGCCACAAGTGTATAATATTACGAAATTATGAAACTGTTTCTATTATTTCAATACCTGAACATTATTGTGCAAAAACAAAACAAGAAGTCCTACTGTCCTCAAACAAGTTCTTCCTAATTAACAGCATTTTTGCTCGTTACTATAGCCCCTTTTACACTGCCCGATTTTCCGCGAATGTTGGGCCGTTTTGCTGGCAAGCTGGGAGCAGATTGGCAAGTTGATCCGAGGTGCCCAATTTTCCGCCTCGTAGGGTAGTCATATTGGAACCCTTTTAGTTTAAACAGACTGAGGCGGCCTTCCGCAACAGGAGATGACTTGTGGGAGGAGCTGTTGATGACGCTGCACGTGCGAGCCACTGGCGGTGGATAAACAGGAAACAGCTGATAGCAGGAATTAGCGAGCAGCTAGTAGCAAGAGGGAAACGCAAACCTGACAGACACTGTAAAGATGAGCAACTGGGGAGACAAGGTATTGCGCGCCCTCCTTGCCCTTGCAAATGAAGAGGCCATTAACCGTCAGATGACGGGGACGGTAAAGGATGGGCCAACTTACGAGAGAATCACCGAAGGACTGACCAGCCACGGCTTCCCTCCCACATCACTGTCTACACATTTTGTTACTTGCTGATGCTCCCCATTGCCCCGAAAAAGGCACATTCTGTACAAACAAAAGTAGGTAGGCGGCATTTTGCTGTACTCCCCGATTTTGTTTTTATACTGCCGATGCTGAAAGAAGACTGATTGGGCTTTCCTGCAAATTTGCACAATTCCTACCTAAAAAGGGCTTATAACTAAAATTGGCCAATTAGTATGCCATATCAAACTACAGACATTATTTAGCACAAATAATTAAGTTTCAACCACAGAATTTGATCAGGTTTTGTACCTCCTCCACTTTTGTGTTGGGATCAGCTGTAGACTGAGCATAGAAGTGCGCACAAACAAGGACAACAGGTCTATTTTAAGCAGAATAAAGTATAAGGTGCAGGAAACCCAAAATGTGATGTCCTCACATGACGACACAGGGTCTCAGGAGGCAGGGAACATACATACATATGTGAAACATCAACATCATGTCATTGTGAGCACGTTCACATGGTGACATAAGCATTTAGCCCACAGCCCTGCTCACAGAGCCACTAGCATAGCTGTAACTGGTTTGTCCATAGAGGAGAGAGAGGTACATCTCTGTGGCTAATAACATTCATTACTCATCAAATTAGTATCCACAGTCACACCCCTCTATGTCCACTTCCTTATTTCAGAGAGTGGGCCTATAGTGCACTCGGAGGATTAGTTGAGCAATATAGGGCAATGCCTAAATGCCTGTTTAAAAGCTGATGCTGCAATGATTCATTTATACATCAGTACAGAAAGCGGGTCCTCCAGACCATAACACCTCATTTCCAAATTTCTTAGCTTAACCAATCTATTTACAGTACATGAATTTAAATAAGCGTTGCTAATCTCCATTCAACAACAAAAAAGTGAAACGCTTTCAACTACGCCGTCCTTTGACTCAAGCTGAGCTGATTAAGAATTAAGGTTAATTAGGCCTTTTTGAAGGCAGAATGGATATTAGCAGAATGACAGCCCAGTTAGGGTTATGTACAGTGCATCAATTACTGTACTAATTTGTCCCTGCGGCTAAAAGTACATGATCGCTATTTAATCATTCATTAGCAGGCACTAATTGCTGAGGAGGATGCATGCCATTACATGAGTGAAGCACAGAATTTCACTCATTTACAGAAAGAGAGACGAGAGATAAACAAGCAGACATGAGAGAGTGAGCTCAAGTGATGAACAAGAGCCGGATGATAGATGAAGGAGTGAGTGCTCCGTGGATGGAGCTAGAGGATAAGAAGAAATGATGGAAAATGTATTCCACGACATAATTGCAGTCTGTAAGAAGGAGATAAGATAAAAGTGTTTGCTTGTTTGTCTGTCCATTCTTCTACTCCGGCATGTCTGTCTGTCCAGTCCAAGTTGTTCACTTGTTTATGTCTGAACATCCTGCCTGGCTAGTGAGGACCACACCCAGTATCCAGA